TTTTTCTTTTTTTTTTTTTTTTTTTGTAATCGTCGATAATTTGATGACCGTTGAAGTGTAATCCAAGATGAAAAGTCGAAAGAATTTCGGTTCTCGGTTGAACAAGGATTGCATCATGTGACTAGATTTGGATGGATTTTCTTTTATGATATATATTCAATTAATTCTCTTTTGGAACTTTGTCCAACTGTCTATATAGTTCAAGTCGACTATATAAAATCGTGGATTAGCTGGAACGGTCACTGGAAGATTGAAAGAAATGGGAAATTGATTTTTTTAGATGTTTGTCTCTCCTTTGGGTATTATCGTACGGTTTCAGTGGATAGTTGATACGCTATATTCGTTTATCAAACAAAGTGAAAGACACATGATACTCGAGGAGTTTCAATAATAGAGATTCGTATGAGATAACTAGGTGTTTTGTGGCGAGAAGATATTCTTGATCCGATGATTATTACAGTGACTGGTTCTTTCTTTGCAAGTATATTATTATTCAAGTTGATATTGAATTTAAATTTACGCGGGAGCTTATAAACTACTACGTTGATCGATGAATACGAGATACCAATTTGTATATATTGTGTATAAATGATACGACTGTTCTTCTGAGGATAAGTGATTATTTTCACGCGATATTTCGATGGTTACGTGTTTCTATTTTTCTTTTTCACCTATCAATTTGCTTCAATTTTTTGATATTGTTTGTACATCATTAATTAATTACAGAAAGTTCCGCTGAAAGCTTTTATTTGATTTTGATAAATGATACAATTGTTTAAATTTAAATATTTTTAGATAACAAATGTATAAAATCGTAGTGAAATTTATTAAAATTATATATCGTGATTTCATACTCGAATATATTTGAATGATTTGATTAAAGTACTACGCTCATTTTATTCGATTAAGATATCTTTGGATTAGAACGAATAAATAAATAAATATTTATCAATATTTTGAATGAAATATTCGAATAATATACGTGTCTCTGGTTTCTTTCAATTTTTATAGAAAGTGCACGTTTCTGTGTGCGCAGCTTTCAGCGGTCAATGCGCCTGCCCTTTCCTAACACCTAGGGACTCTTCCATCATCGATTATTACTAGAGTCTAAGCTAAAATCCCTAGAGATAACATGAGCCGTGTAGATTCATACAAATATAATCACGCGAAACGTAGCTATGTACGTACACGTTTACACGTTTAATCGAAAATTACTACGAAAATTATTTTTTAAAAATTACTATTAGACGATGAAAATTTCTCGCGGGAAATTATGAAATTATTCGATGCGCGTTATATACCCGAATACATAGAAGTTTGCACAGTCAATATTTGAACAAGAGGGTGCGTCACAAAATTTATCGATTCGAAACTTTCTATCATTTCAACCCTTTCTCGACTCGATATTCAATATCAATTTAGAAAATTGTTATTCCACCGACGAAGCAAAATTAGAAACAATTACCAAGTTTGGTAATTAATTAATCAAGAAGAGTAAAAAAAAAACAAATTAAATTCCTCGTTGGGTGTTATGAGGTAAAAAAATAGTATAAAAGAAATAAAAGTAATAAAAGTAATAAAAGTAATAAAAGAAAAAAAAGAAAAAAAGATAGAAAGCTCGTGAAGTCGTATGGAGATTCGAAGGGATTACTAAGAAATTCGTCGAAGCTAATTTAAAATTCAATTAGGACTAGGATATCTCGAGCATTAATTGAATTCAGACAGTTAGCCAAGTAGTCATGAGCACCGGGGCAAACTTTGCTGGTTTAAAGTTTTCTAGCCATTCTGATTACAGGATGCTTTCACGTAGAAAGCGATTGCTGGAAAGTTTCAAAGAAATCACGAAACTTTTCTCCATCTTTCTTTCTCAACTTTCCCCTTTCTTCCGTCTTACACAATTCTTCTCCCCCTCTATTCTTCCGTCATTTAACAAGTCACGGAATAATCGTGTCGCGTTTCTTCAACGACACCAGGGATTAATTATTCCAAGAAAAGTCTCAGAAAAGTGCGACGAGACAGCAGAAGCACTATTTTTTATCATCTCTTTTATATTATTTCGTGTGAATCGATTCCATCGTCGTTCCTGCTACTCCCCTTCGCCAAGAGAGTTTTTTTATTGAAGATGATCGGTCTCGTTATCAACCGCGTTTCCTATCGCGATCCGATATTGAAGTTTTAAAATCACGGTTGGAAAGGAGGGGAGGGGAGGATGAGGCGAAACACTCGTGTAAAAAAATTCTTCAGCGCGTAAAGTCACGCTGCGTCGTATCGATCAGCGGAATATCAAGCTCTACTTTTGCTGTGCTAAATTTCTGCGAGGTGGTCTCCTCCATCTCGCGCGCGCCTCCATTCTGCTCGCGTGGACGTTTTTATCGCGGATCTCGCTTAAGCTCGTTGTTCCTTATTGAGAACGTTATATACGTTTAATTATAGCGATACTTCAGTGTATAAAAAAAAA